TCACACCTTTCCTTTGATGGAACCCTCTTCCGACATTTGGTTAAGCCGCAGATGTTCTTTGAAGTTTTGACCCTTCCCTTTGATAGACCTCCTCGCCGCCTCACACCTTTCCTTTGATGGACCCCTCTTCCGACATTTAGTTAAGCCGCAGATGTTCTTTGAAGTTTTGACCCTTCCCTTTGATGGACCTTCTCGCCGCCTCACACCTTTCCTTTGATGGACCCCTCTTCCGACATTTCGTTTAGCCGCAGCTGTTCTTTGAAGTTTTGACCCTTCCCTTTGATAGACCTCCTCGCCGCCTCACACCTTTCCTTTGATGGAACCCCCTTCCGACATTTCGTTAAGCCGCAGATGTTCTTTGAAGTTTTGACCCTTCCCTTTGATAGACCTCCTCGCCGCCTCACACCTTTCCTTTGATGGAACCCTCTTCCGACATTTCGTTAAGCCGCAGATGTTCTTTGAAGTTTTGACCCTTCCCTTTGATGGACCTCCTCGCCGCCTCACACCTTTCCTTTGATGGACCCCTCTTCCGACATTTCGTTAGGCCGCAGATGTTCTTTGAAGTTTTGACCCTTCCCTTTGATGGACCCCCTCGCCGCCTCACACCTTTCCTTTGATGGCACCCTCTTCCGACATTTCGTTAGGCCGCAGATGTTCTTTGAAGTTTTGACCCTTCCCTTTGATAGACCTCCTCGCCGCCTCACACCTTTCCTTTGATGGAACCCTCTTCCGACATTTCGTTAAGCCGTAGACGTTGTTTGAAGTTTTGACCCTTCCCTTTGATGGACCTTCTCGCCGCCTCACACCTTTCCTTTGATGGGACCCTCTTCCGACATTTCGTTAAGCCGCAGATGTTCTTTGAAGTTTTGACCCTTCCCTTTGATGGACTTTCTCGCCGCCTCACACCTTTCCTTTGATGGGACCCTCTTCCGACATTTCGTTAAGCCGCAGATGTTCTTTGAAGTTTTGACCCTTCCCTTTGATAGACCTCCTCGCCCCCTCACACCTTTCCTTTGATGGGACCCCTTCCGACATTTCGTTAAGCCGCAGATGTTCTTTGAAGTTTTGACCCTTCCCTTTGATAGACCTCCTCGCCGCCTCACACCTTTCCTTTGATGGGACCCTCTTCCGACATTTCGTTAAGCCGCAGATGTTCTTTGAAGTTTTGGCCCTTCCCTTTGATAGACCTCCTCGCCGCCTCACACCTTTCCTTTGATGGACCCCCTTCCGACATTTCGTTAAGCCGCAGATGTTCTTTGAAGTTTTGACCCTTCCCTTTGATAGACCTCCTCGCCGCCTCACACCTTTCCTTTGATGGGACCCTCTTCCGACATTTCGTTAAGCCGCAGATGTTCTTTGAAGTTTTGACCCTTCCCTTTGATAGACCTCCTCGCCGCCTCACACCTTTCCTTTGATGGAACCCTCTTCCGACATTTCGTTAAGCCGCAGACGTTCTTTGAAGTTTTGACCCTTCCCTTTGATGGACCTCTCGCCGCCTCACACCTTTCCTTTGATGGGACCCTCTTCCGACATTTCGTTAAGCCGCAGATGTTCTTTGAAGTTTTGGCCCTTCCCTTTGATAGACCTCCTCGCCGCCCCACACCTTTCCTTTGATGGACCCCCCTTCCGACATTTCGTTAAGCCGCAGATGTTGTTTGAAGTTTTGGCCCTTCCCTTTGATAGACCTCCTCCCCGCCTCACACCTTTCCTTTGATGGACCCCCCTTCCGACATTTCGTTAAGCCGCAGATGTTCTTTGAAGTTTTGGCCCTTCCCTTTGATAGACCTCCTCGCTGCTTCACACCTTTCCTTTGATGGGACCCTCTTCCGACATTTCGTTAAGCCGCAGATGTTCTTTGAAGTTTTGACCCTTCCCTTTGATGGACCTTCTCGCCGCCTCACACCTTTCCTTTGATGGGACCCTCTTCCGACATTTCGTTAAGCCGCAGATGTTCTTTGAAGTTTTGACCCTTCCCTTTGATAGACCTCCTCGCCGCCTCACACCTTTCCTTTGATGGAACCCTCTTCCGACATTTCGTTAAGCCGCAGATGTTCTTTGAAGTTTTGACCCTTCCCTTTGATAGACCTCCTCGCCGCCTCACACCTTTCCTTTGATGGGACCCTCTTCCGACATTTCGTTAAGCCGCAGATGTTCTTTGAAGTTTTGACCCTTCCCTTTGATAGACCTTCTCGCCGCCTCACACCTTTCCTTTGATGGGACCCCTCTTCCGACATTTCGTTAAGCCGCAGATGTTCTTTGAAGTTTTGACCCTTCCCTTTGATAGACCTTCTCGCCGCCTCACACCTTTCCTTTGATGGGACCCTCTTCCGACATTTCGTTAAGCCGCAGATGTTCTTTGAAGTTTTGACCCTTCCCTTTGATAGACCTTCTCGCCGCCTCACACCTTTCCTTTGATGGAACCCTCTTCCGACATTTCGTTAAGCCGCAGATGTTCTTTGAAGTTTTGACCCTTCCCTTTGATAGACCTCCTCGCCGCCTCACACCTTTCCTTTGATGGGAACCCCTCTTCCGACATTTCGTTAAGCCGCAGATGTTCTTTGAAGTTTTGACCCTTCCCTTTGATGGACCTTCTCGCCGCCTCACACCTTTCCTTTGATGGGACCCTCTTCCGACATTTCGTTAAGCCGCAGATGTTCTTTGAAGTTTTGACCCTTCCCTTTGATAGACCTCCTCGCCGACTCACACCTTTCCTTTGATGGGTACATTATACACCAGGTAATAGTTTTTACTGGCTCTAGGAGATGACAGGCTCGCCAGTTAACTTCCCCTATCGCCAGTAAAAACTCACTTACCTGGCTAATAATGTAAAATACTATATCAGTATCGTAGAGAATCAGTAAATCTCTATGTCTACTTCTTAATAAATATTACTGTATATGAAGTTGTATATGAATTTTCCTTACAGTTAGAAATCACGTCGTTCAAGTATTTCAAGTTCGAGGTGTCTATTACACGGTGATTATTATGATTATTGAATTCATAAATCCATCAATTATAGACAATGATTTTCAAGGAGTGAGGATTCAGAAAATGCAACGATATAATGTCTTCAATGAAATTCTTAAATTTAGCAGATCAATTAACTGCCATTCCATTTGATGGAGCACCTGAGAAGTGCCAATCGCCATACTCGCCGTAGAGAATATAATTTTGATTATTGCAAGATGTCGAGGTTGTAACAATAATGTCAGCAATCGAGAAAGATACCGAGGCCAAGGAATTTGCAAGCGAAATTCTGCAATTAATAATTCCTACAGGGTACGATCAAATATTAGCTACTGAAGAAAATCTGGAAAACTAAACGGGTTGCCGATCAACGTCGCCCGGATAAAGTGAAACAAATGATTGTGCATTGTATGACATCTGTCATTCTTATTTCAAATACACGTTATAAAATGACGTTCAGAACATGGAAAATCTGTTTCTATAGAAACGTACGCGACGGCAGAACCTAAGCTTATTATTTTTGACGTCCCTAAATTAAATTCAGAATTGTCATAAGCGTTACAATGATTTAAATGGCTTCTGCTATAAAGTAAAGTTTGCTTTATACATTTACAGGTATTATACGTAAGTAGACGGGCTAAGGGAGATATATTTGTTAAAAGCAGTTCATGGTAGCAATAGTGCAAAGATTTTAAATAATGATGTCAGTATAATAAACAACGAGTAGGTATTTAGTATCTTTAATGAGTAAAAAATAACTGAAATGAACACGCAACAGCGATAAACAATCCTTCCTCACATAATTTACAAAGACAGTCACAATCATAATCTTTCTTTGTGCACTTATTTTCTAGATTTTTTATTAAAACCATCTGAAATGAGTGATTTTGAAAAAAAGCTGATAAACGGTGATAGCATACATACGAAAGCGTAGAAGGGCCACATACTCTCCATTTTTACTTGCAATTGCGATTTACTATATCGCAATTGCGTCTTAATAACTTGCAATTGCGACTTACTATCTCGCAATTGCGACTTATTATCTTGCAATTGCGACTTACTATCTCGCAATTGCAACTTATAATTCTCCATTTTGTACATTACTAGTCTTAACTTAAACATTCAACAGGTGAAGTGTTACACTTATTCTCTGAGGTGAGTAAGCAAGCGAGCATCCAGTTCCACAAATACCTTTAATCATATAAGACGCAATGCTAATAGTTGAGTCAAGCAAATAAATTACATACGAAAAAATTTTTGTGCGCATGCGCAGAACGCAACTTGCTTATTTATGGAGCAATTTGAACGAAATTTTGATGGTAGGTCCTTTTAATAAGAGCAAATAAATTGCTTGCACAACAAATTTTGTGCGCATGCGCAAAACGCAACTTTCTTATTTATGGAGCAATTTGAACTAAATTTTGATGATAATGATTTAAAACTTAGAGAAAATCTTTGCGTATTTGAAAACTGTATTTAGTCATCAGTATTACCATTGAATAAGAATAGTGTTTTTATTCAATGGTATTCATTCATCATCATGTTTTGAATATTTGGAATTTACTCCACCAACCTTAGATTAAAGTTGTATAAATACATTGTACTTACCTAAATTGTAACCAGTCTATACAAAATGTTTAAGACTGCCTTCTAGGTATATTTTGTTCAGGCATTCCGTTATTTAAATCCGTCATTTTTAGATGGATAAAGAAACCAGCTATCACCTTTCTACAGCACTGGAAGAGTTTCTAATTGGACGAAATGTAGCAGAAGATACTCTAAATTACCTTCGACTACATAAGGTATTATGTTCTGTTGTTATGTATGATTGCTTACACACTAATATTACTTTCTTAGATTGACACGGATATTATTGCTTTAATGGATGAAACGGAACTTTCAAAATTATTTGCATCTTATGGAGATAGACTTGCTGTTGTAGATTTTTGTAAACGACAAGTTCATACAAACAATCGCAAAATCAGTTTGTGATCGTCTTCGCAAAAAAGTGTCAAACAAACGCAAACATAGTAACTCTTACAGCGAAGACGATGATTCAATGCAACCAAGCAGTACAAAACCCCGAAATGGTAAAAATACGAGACTCATAAAACTTGGATGGTTTCACTACAATGAAACATTCAAGGAACCGAAGCAAGTACGAGCAATTAACGGAGGCGGTAGTAGAGATGTTCGCGTACCTAAATATTACAATAAACAAGACATCATTGACAAAGGATGCAATCTATTTTTCCCTAACGGTACATCTTCAAAAGGACTAAAGTTGTCCGATATGAACACTACCCTATTAGACTTTTGTGCTAAAGAACTAGAGGATGAAGTAATGACCATTGAACAAATGTTTCAAACTGCTAAAATAACGCGACTCCACCTGTATTTGTGCACTACTCCAAAGAAAAGAAAGGAAGTATGTGAGACTGTCACAAGTGAAACTGCGGATACAAGGGGCACCAGCGACACAATGTATGGGGAAGTACCAACACAACTTTCTTCTGACCTTACGGAATTCCAGTGCAGTTACAACATTGAAGATTTCCTTTGTTTACCACCGGATGCAGTGGTTGCAAACGACAGGTTGTTAGCAACACAAATACAAAACGAAGAGAACGACGGTTTCATTTTGTCATTGGAACAGAATACTGAGAATACACCTGTTACTCCTGTGAGTCCAACAGCCGATATCTCGATTTGTCTTCATAGAGGACGGGTATTTGAAGAGCTAATAAATATATTTCTGGAGAGAAGAATGGTCGGTAGTAAAATACATGTAACTCTCATGCTCCCCAATGGTGAATTGGAGTGTGCCGAAGATTTGGGTGGGGTATGGAGGGATGCACTTAGCGAGTTTTGGAATTCCATGTATGAAAAATGCACAATCGGTACAAACATTAAAGTTCCCCAACTAAGACACGATTTTGGAGTAGAAAAATGGTCAGCAATCGCGGAAGTATTAAAACAAGGTTGGATTACTGACAAGTATTTTCCCATCAGATTATCGAAATGTTTCATGGAATACACAATTTTCAAACAATGTTCTGGAGACGTAACTACCGATTTTTTTGGTTACATTAGCGAAGACGACAAAACAGTATTCCGTGAGGCAATTGGCCATTTTGAGTCGATTCCTACGGACGAACTCCTTGATGTGTTAGGTCGTTACGATTGTAAAACTCTGGCGAAAGAAGATAATATTAAACAAATCATTGACGAACTAGCCCACCAAGAAATTCTTCAGAAGTCTGCTTTCATATCTGATTGCTTTAATAAAGTCCTAGTAAATTTGGTAGATGTCAACGAATTTAATGAAATTTATAGAACTAGCAATCCAACATCTAGAAACATACTAGCAGCTTTGTTATATGATGACAACTTGTCCGAGGAAGCAGAAAAAGTATCTGCTATGTTAAAGAGATATATACGTGAGGCTCCTGAGAATATTCGTATGGCTTTTCTAAGGTTTGCAACGGGGGCTGACATCCTTTTGGGTAATAAAATAAAAATTATATTTTCCAAATCTGATGGTTTCAGCCGTCGACCGATTGCCCATACATGCACAAATACTTTAGAAGTTCCCGATTGTTATGATAATTTCATGGAGTTTCGTTCAGAATTCAATTGTATATTAACCTCTAACATCTGGATAATGGATATTTTTTAATTTTTACATATTTTATTTTATAATTTTACCATAATAAGAATGATTGTTTCGTTTTATTACTAAATAAAAAATACGTTCGGCATTATTTGAAAATAAACTGGATAAATTAACTGTAGGTATCTGTAACTCTGCGAGATTGGTTTATTCAAGGTTCAGATTATTGGGAATAATAGCAAAAAATTAGATTAACGATTTAACGGTTATACCTATTGTACGACTGAGTTTACATCACAGAACAGGAAATGTTTAATTCAAATAACTTCGAAATCTGTAACCTGCTTGAATTCCTCCAAAGGATATACATACCTTAGGTACCTACTTACATATGTACGCAGTAGTTTTTTTTTAACCAACTGGCAGTTCCTTTGGAGTTCGTATCTCGACGGCGATTGTACACTTACAACGGACAATCTTACACATATACAGTCTATCTCAGGAAAGAATGCCGGCCACAGAACACTTGATGCCGATCTAAAATCGATGGTTTAATATGAAAAACATGGCAAATTACTTCCGTAGTAATAATACTTTGATTAGAATATATTTTCTAATCAGTATTATTATTAGGGAAGTAATTTGCCATGTTTTTCATATTAAACCATACGATTATAGATCGGCATCAAGTGTTCTGTGACCGGCATTCCTTCCTGAGATAGACTGTACGTATTTTTCATCTTTATTAACCTGCTTAATTTTTTTTGCAAATGGATCTACTTATTTATTGTGCGGTTTTACAACACTATAATAAACATGATAGTTTGTTCCGTAAGTATAAGTACACATCAATCGCATTATACGGATCGGATGGAATATTTTCTACTGCAGCTTCATTAAGTAGAATATTACAAAGTTCAAAAACATCCTTATCACAGGGACATTCTTGATCAAGAAATACGCATTCTTCACGAGCAATTTCCAAGTCGTCAAATTCAACGGAGATCAAATAATCATTACTTCGATATATTTCAGGAATATGGTACATAATTAATGGTTTTCCTCTTGGCAATATGCTGTTCTTCGATGAAGATATATTATGCGAGTTCCATTCCAAAACCACGCTGTTCAGCTCTGACTACACAAAAAAATTTTAATGTGATAAATAACAAAATAACTAAGTTCAAAGCGTACCTGGATTATTCGAAGGAAGCAAAATTGGATTAGTGCTTTTTCCAAGTAAGAACCATTAAAATAGCCATCGTCTTGAATCTTTTTAAATAAATTCATCCAAAACTCCGCGTTGTGCTTTCTTAATATTCCCCACCAGCACTCAATTTTTTGATTGGCTGTACTTTTACCATAAAGAAACGCTGGTCTGTGGATATTAATACCCGTATCTCTTCGAAAAAATACCTGCATTTGTTCGATGTGGCGGTTTTCCGTACCCATATCGGCCCTGATGGTCAATGGTATGCCTCCAATCTTTTGTATAGTGTCAACAAAATAACCACCGATAACACGGGGATTGTTATTAGTTCTCCCAGCCTTCATCCACATAATATGGCGCGAAAATCCATCTATACACCCATTAATTCCAATACCAAACGGCTTTAACTTGTCATAAGAGTCTACATGCCATAAGTAATTTGGTCCTTTGTTATTGTATTGTCTTCTTCGAAGTCTTCTCCTTGTTCTTATTTCAACACCCACGGGATCAATGGATTTCAAAAGTCGCCGAATAGTTTCCTGCCGAACTACAAAACCTTCTTGAATGCATTTGAGGTGCATCCAACGATATCCATGAAGCTGCCCTGATTTGGATACCTGTGTCCTTAAATAAGTATGTAGCCACTTGGTTTATTGGAGAATATCCTTTCTTTCGAAAAAGTTTTAAATTTTTCAATCTTCTTTTTAAAGTCCGAAGGCTAATATTACAATTATGTTGTACTTTAAGGAAAGCTAAAATTTCATCGTTGGACAACCCGAGAGTAAAATAAAATGTGATCAATTGCGTTTCACTCATTTTTGCAATGCATGCAATACGCGACAAACGTACAACATAGACTAAGGCTTAAGGCAAGCTAATCGACAGTAGGTATCAATTGTAATATTATGAGTTTATAAGTCGCAATTGCGAGATAGTAATATTATAGTAAGCAATTGCGAGATAGTAAGTCGCAATTGCGAGATAGTAAGTCGCAATTGCGAGATAGTAAGTCGCAATTGCGAGATAGTAAGTCGCAATTGCGAGATAGTAAGTCGCAATTGCAAGTTATTAAGACGCAATTGCGATATAGTAAATCGCAATTGCAAGTAAAAATGGAGAGTATGTGGCCCTTCTACGCTTTCGTACATACAAGCCAAATTCGCGTTCATTTCTCGCACCGATTGCTTCATAGTTTACCTACACGAATACGAATTCAGTTATTGTTTATGAATTATGTATTTTTTCGACATAAGGAATCCTTACGGAAAAGTTTCAGGACTGTCTCGCTTGTTTCTAAAACAATGTCAAACGTTTTGATATATTTTCCGAATATCAATTTCAAACTTATGCAATAACGGCAAACAACTTCCGCCTCGGGTTTATAAGCTCCTTCGATTTTGTTTTAATCTCCAAGGAAAACAGTCGTACATCTACAAGTTTGCTTCATGCCTCGAATAGTAATAACCCGGTATTTTAGCGAAGAATTCTTTCGGCAATTGTTGACCAAATAAATGCCAAGACGTAATGGCACAGCGAACGTTAAAATTATCCTCTTACGTAAAATAGGAACAACCCGGCAGTGAGCCGATAATTCCTATTGCAATGAACGCAAAATGGGAAGCTCAAGAGACCAATTCCATTGTTTGAATTGCTACAAAAAACAATATTCTTAACGACGATTATAAGTAAAACAATTTTATTAAATTAAGATTTGACGCAACAGGTTGCCGTATTACCGTTTACTCTACAAGTATATAAAACGTTTTCCGATGTTCAGAATAAAGTAATCCCATATCTAAAAGTTTCATGGTACTTTGTTGGAAGTTTGGTATCCGGAATCAAGCTACCTTTTTGCATACACGTACTTTTCTGTTAAGCGATAAGTGCGAGTTATGGTGTTTCGGAATTCTTATCTTAAAAATTCGTTTTGTTCTTTTTTAATAAGTTTTTTCAGTCTAGACGTTCCGCACTTAATTGGATTGCGAATCTAGGCAGGACTCAACGTAGCGTGCCAATCCTTTTCTTTTTTCTAATTTAAATTACTGTTGCTCTCTGCCAATCCCACGACTTTTAGTAGTAAGGGAAATAATAATCATTCGGGACTTGGAAATGACGCAAAAGCTTATGAACTTAGCAATTTAACTTAGAATCTTCCTTTGTTAGAGATGAAGTTTAGTACAAATTAAGCCGATTACATCTAAAAGACACGTAGAATTATACGAAAAGTGGATGGAAAATGTTCATATTATGAGAGTCACATAAAAATGTTTCTAATTGTGCTGGAATGGAACGCCACGTCGCACAGAACCTGCTCTACAGTTGTTGCCCTTAATTGTTGACAAAAAAAAGCTTGGATTCAACTGATCCAAAATTGTGTCAAATATAGATCTCGAAATAATGGTTGAGCTTACCTAAATTAGGGCGGCACAGGCATTGAAATTAGTGACCAAGAAAAACTGCAATGCGTTGTTTGTTCAAAAGGTATAGGCTACCTCCTGGTCTACCTATTGCAAAAAATTCCAGGACTCTAGAACCATTTCCCTAGATGTGGTTCGCCAGAAGTGGGCCGGACCGATAAAACGCACATAAGCACATCTTTGACCGCATTTTTTAAGAATTAAAAAAAATGTGCTATTGTTGTGTTTTGTGCGAAACCAAATTTTAAACCTGGCGTTACATTTGCTTTTGTTCAAAATAGCTGTGTATCAGATTTCATTTAAATCCCTCCATAAATAAGAAAGTTGGACTGCGCATGCGCAAAACCAAATTTTGAAACTGGCGTTAAATTTTCTTTTATCCCAAGTGGCTATGTATCAAATTTCATTTAAATGCTTTCATAAATAGGAAAGATTGCAATTCGGTTTATAAATGCTCGAGATGCCGAAAGGGCACTGTGAATGTTGATCGATTAGCTTCAACTTTTGTAATTGCGTTTTATATGGCTAAAGCTATACGCATATTGAATTTCATGCAATTCAGTTCATAACTCACGGATATGTCAAAAGGGCCTTTCTTATTGTTTGGGCTACATTGCCAATTCACGAACTCCGATCTACAAATTCGATAAAGAATGCACCTACAAAATTTCATCGTAATCGGCCCATTCGTTATCGAGACATCGTGCTAACGGACAGACGGACAGACTCCGAAAATTAAAACCTCGCTAGGAGCTCGTTAATAAACTGATTTAAAGTACTTATGTGTTTTTAGTACCTTAACTGTTTAATCGCTGTTGGAAATTTTACGACTTCTCCGCGTAATACGATTATCCGCGGATAATGGGGAGTTTACTGTATAATTTGAAATAGCCGATTCATTGAGTACCTAATTCTATCCTAAACAACCTTCGCTATAAGACGTTCAGATATTTTCGGCACTTTAGTTTTGAGTGAATATTTGTAACCTGGGGCAGTTAAAGTGGAGTGAGTATCTCATTTCATAAGTCTCCACTGAGCCTGACGGAAGATGTTTTAAAATAGGTACCTTCATTAATCTGGAAAGGAGGCTGTGGCGAATATTTGAAAATGAACTGTACTCTTTGTAATCCCTATGAGCATATATTTGGGGGGGTCCCTCGCAATAATAAAGGTTGTAATGCAGGCTGAAAGTCGTATTTGCAGTCTCCGATAAGTTGGAAGTTCGAATTTCCCTGTGCTTTTTCCGTCCTTCGGTATCAATAAAAGCAGAACCAAAAGACATGAAGGCCTTCGACTTTTGAACCGTGTTTATTGTTACATTACAAATCCCTTCTTATTCCTCACTCAATTCGCCCTAATGAAAATAATAT